TGAGGCAGTTGTGACAATTAAACAAATTAGTAGACCAGGCATGGTGGCTCATGCCTATAATCCCAGCACTTTGGCAGGCAGAGGCGGGTGGATCACTTGAGGCCAGGAGCTTGAGAATAGCCTGGCCAACATGGCAAAACCCTGTCTCTACTAAAAATACAAACATTAGTGGGACATGGTAGTGAGTGCCTGCAATCTCAGCTACTAGGGAGGCTGAGGCAGGAGAATCACTTGAACCCAGGAGGCAGAGGTTGCAGTGAGCCGAGATCGCGCCACTGCACTCAGCCTGGGAGATAGAGCGAGACTCTGTCTCAAAAAAAAAAAAAAAAAAAAAAAAAAATGTGAAATAGACATCATTATATACATTTTTCTATATACAAATACAGAAAAGAAAACATATCTAAAAGGACAGGGCCATTCATAATTATGCCACCCAGAGATAGGCACTGTGAGCATTTCTTTCAGTCTGTCCTCTCAGCACCCCAGCACACTTGAATTATGCTGCTTATATACTTCTGTACCCTCTCTTTTCTGCCTAACAGGTCTTGAGCACTTTATAAGCATTCAATATAAATATGACTTGCATGCCTGCATCACATTCCATCAAGGGACAGGTTTCTGTAGTATGGGAGTCTGTGTTTTTTCCCAGTATTTCTCTTACCTCAGATATCATTGCTTCAATCTTGGAAGACATCTTGAGTATTTTTTTCTGGGCTTCGTTCCTAGAAGCAGAAATGTGTTCACTTTGAATCTTTGACTCTCACAGATGTTAGGTGCGATGAAGTGTGGTTTTACGGTCTTCACACAGACGACATACACCAAATTTCTCTTAGCAATATTTGCTCCTCTGAGAAGGAAATTTCGCTGCTCAAGTCTCACCTTGAAATAGGTGAGCTGGGTGTGGCGGTGCGTGCCCGTAACAGCTATTGGGGAGGCTGAGGCAGGAGGATGGCTTGCTTGAGACCAGGAGTTTGAGGCTGCAGTGAGCTATGATCACGCCCCTGCACTCCAGATTGGGCCACAGAGCAAGACCCTGTCACACACACAGAAGAAATAGCTTACCTGCCACTAAGCTACTCCTTTTTCCTTACATATAGTACTTGCTGATGTACCAGAGCTCACCGTTCAGCCCACACCATCCCAGGCTAGGGGTTAAGATCAAGAGCTTTATTCCGTCTGCCTGGACTTGAGTCCTGGCTCTGCCATTACTCTGTGTGACCTTGAGCAAGGCACATTCTCCCTCTGAGCTTCAGTCTCCTCGTTTCTAAAGGCAGCTTCAAGGATTATATGAGCTGATACATGCAGAGCACCTACCACAGAGCCTGGCATTGACCACAGGCTCAGGAAATGTTAAACATTTGTGCTGTGAAGCTTTGCAGGTGATGAAACTATTCAACTCTGCTGCTGCAACGTGAAAGCAGCCAGAGGCGATGTGTGTACGCCAATGAGTGTGGCTGCGTCCCAAGAAAACTTTATGGAAACGGAACCTTGAGTTTCACACAGTTTTTATGCATCACAAAACATTTTCCAACCACTTAAAAATGTAACCACCATTCTTAGCTCACAAGCTGCAGAAAAGCACGTGGCAGGCTGGAAGTGACAGACAGCTTGCAACCACTCACCTCCCCTAATCAGAGAGTGACCTCCAGGCAGACTTGGGTCTGTTTAGAGTTTCTCAGTCCCCTGTCCCTGAAGGCTGGCTATTTCCAAACCTGCTGGGGAAGGGTGAGGGGCCTGGGTTCTAGGGGTCTCACTTCCCCTCTTGTGGCTTCAGTTTCCCTGTCTGTGCAGGCAGCGTGAGCTTTTGGCTCTTTCTAGCTGCATCTTCCTAAGGTGACTGAGACTGTGTCATGGCAAACACCTGCTGGGTTTCTGGTTTTCATTTTAAAATAATCTGTGTGCAAGGCAAGATATGAGTATCTTTCTGTGCATGTCCTGAGCCCCTGCCTGGTGCAAAGCTGCAGGGCAGACCCTGGGAGACCCCCTATTTCCTCCCTTCTGGACGTGTCTGGATATTCTCAGGCCTCCCAGCCTTCGCCTCTGCTGTGCTCTGTGCCTCGGCTGCCCACCTGGCTTGTCATCGCAAGTGCCACTTCTTGGAAGCTCCTCCTGTTAACCTCCCTCCCCCACCCAGGATGGAAGGAGAGGCCCCTCCCTTGCTTACCGCAGGATGGCACTCACTGCGCTGTGTCATTGTGGCATAATGTTCCATTGACTTGTTTACTCGCCAGCCTCCCCAGCAGATGAAGGGCTACCGGAGGGCCACAGCCCAGAATTGCTGGCCTTTGGACCTCAGGGCATGCGGTCTGGAGTGCCAGAGTTGGTCAAATGAATAAATTTAGGATGAAGAAATAAGATAAGCAGGCCTTGCCCTTGTGGAATCTGTAGTCCAGCTCCCTAGAGAGGATCTTGGTTGCAGCTAAAAGGGCCTGTGCTGTGCATCTAGAGAGAGTGGTTTGAGTCCTGCAAGAAGAAATACACCATATTTGCAAACCCTTTGAAGATTCATATTTTGTGTTTTTTACTCCCCGACCACCTTCCACCCCCTCTCTACCCCCCGCCAATCTTGGGCAAGAAGCGAGACCATTCTCCTTTTTGTCTGGTCACTCCTGTCCTTCGGGGGGCCCCCTCTGTCCCCGACTGTCCACTGCCGCTGAAGTGATGCCGTGGCCTTTCTCAGTCTGGGCCCCACCCCCAGCCGAAGAACTTCTCCCCAGAAAGTTTCTACTTGGTTCTTAGTGTTTTCACAGTTATGGGAAACCAAGAGCAATGTCAGACCTAGGAGGTGCCTTACTACCCACCCTGTCTTTATCAACAGTGTCACCAAAGCTGTCACAAACAAGGGGGTGTGGGCTGTCACATGGCCCTGCCTAAGTAACCACATTCTCGCTTCCTCCTTCCACACACGGCCATTGGGGGTTGCTTGAGTCTGGGACTGCCGCAGGGGGTGCCACAGCAGTGCCTAGCAGCGTGGGCTGGGACCTCATCACTAAAGCAGAGAAGCCCCTTCTTCTGGGCCCACGAGGCAGCTGTCCCATGCTCTGCTGAGCACAGTGGTAAGTGCTGGCTTGCAAAACCACAGGGAGTGGCTGGAGGTCCCCATGGGCCAGGGGCCTGCCTTATAGCTGCTGGCAGGCCTGGGAGGACCGCCAGGCCCTTCTTGAGCTGCAGCCCCTGGGGAGGGCAAACTGAGGCCCCTCTGACTCAAGACTAAAGCCTTCCTGGAGTCTGTGGCCTTATTCTGGTGTCTCTTCTGAATTGTGCTCCCGCCAACTTTTCTTTTTCTTCTATTTTTGAGACAAGGTCTTACTCTGTCACCCAGGCTGGAGTGCAGTGGCACGATCATGGCTCACTGCAGCCTTAAACTCCTGGGCACAAGTGATCCTCCCACCTCAACCTCCTGAGTAGCTGGGACTACAGGCACACATCGCCAGCCACATGCAGCTAATATTTTTACCTTTCCTAGAGATGGGGTCTCAAACTCTTGGCCTCAAGCCTCTTACCTTGGCCTCCCAAAGCGCTGAGATTACAGGCGTGACCCACCAGCCCCAGCCTCCCGTTAACTTACTTCCCTCCCTGGCCAGTTTGCCTGCGGCTTCTGGCTTGGGGGCATTCTGAATTTGAAAATCAGAGAAACCATGAGTGTTTCCCTATAAATGATCTTACCTTCTCCTTTCCTGGATGGGAGACTGAGGCCAGGAGAGGTGAAGGGATTTGTTTAGGGGCGGAGCTGAGATTAGGTCTGGAAGATTCCAGAAAGTAGAGGGAGTGCAGGATTGGTATTGAAGCCGCATATTTTATGGATGCATAAAAAAGTGATTTTCAGGGCCGGGCGCGGTGGCTCAAGCCTGTAATCCCAGCACTTTGGGAGGCCAAGACGGGCGGATCACGAGGTCAGGAGATCGAGACCATCCTGGCTAACATGGTGAAACCCCGTCTCTACTAAAAAAATACAAAAAACTAGCCGGGCGAGGTGGCGGGCGCCTGTAGTCCCAGCTACTCGGGAGGCTGAGGCAGGAGAATGGTGTGAACCCGGGAGGCAGAGCTTGCAGTGAGCTGAGATCCGGCCACTGCACTCCAGCCTGGGCAACAGAGCGAGACTCCGTCTCAAAAAAAAAAAAAAAAAAAGTGATTTTCAGAGAAAGATGCATTCCTCCCACTTTTTATAAGACTGAGAAAATGACACTTGTCTGTGGCAAACTATTAAAATATTAGAATTAGGATACTATTGTTAGCAAAAGGGAAAACAATAATAATAATAATACTTAGAATACTTGGCTGGGTGCAGTGGCTCACACCTGTAATCCCAGCACTTTGGGAGACCAAGGCAGGTGGATCGCCTGAGCTCAGGAGTTCGAGACCAAGCTGGGCAACATGGTGAAACCTCGTCTCTACCAAAAATACAAAAACTTAGCTAGGCATAGTGGTGTATGCCTGTGGTCTCAGCTACCTGGGAGGCTGAAGTGGGAGGATCACTTGAACCTGGGAGGGGGAGGTTGCAGTGAGCCAAGATTGTGCCACTGCACTCCAACCTGGGTGGCAGAGTGAGACCCCGTCTCAAAAAAAAAGAAAAAAAATTAGAATACTCTTATTAGTTTGTATTTGAGATACTTTCAGGACACTAAAAGGAAGAGGTGGGGGCTGGTTGCGCCCTGCTGTACACACATTCACACACACACCATAGTGTCTGTATCTGGGCTTCTGTTGCCTGGAATTCTCTTCCTCTTTCCTCTTTCTTCTGTTTTCCTTTTTTTTCCACCTCTGACTTTGAGGCCCCCAGAGCCAGGCCCTTCAGTGGGCCGGAGCTTCAGAAGGTGGCTCCAAGGCCCTCGGACGGCCCCAGAGTCTCTTCCTCTGGGGTTGCCTAGGGAGGCGGCACCCTGGGCGGTTGATGCCTCTCTCAAGAGGCTTGGCCGGCAGCCAGGGGAGTTAAACCTCAGCGGAAGGGCTGGGCTACCGGGCTGGGCCCAGAGCGGGGCATTCGGAGGAGCTGCAGAATCAATCATCTGAGAACCTTGGAGGGTGGACGGTGCCCCTTTTCCAGATGAGAAAACTGAGGCTCGCAGGGGAGAAGTAGCTGCCTCTGGCGGCGTGGCTTCTGGCTGCAGGATGCTCGTGGAGTTCGTGGTGACCCTAGGCCTGTGTCTCGATCTCCTTTGCTGAACTTGAACAGGAAGATGGCAGTGGGGGCCAGTGGTCTAGAAGGAGATAAGATGGCTGGTGTGTGTGTGTTGGGGGTCTGTGTTTGTTAATCTGTCTGTCTACACAGGGGTCTTTAGAAAACTGTTTAAAGACAGTTGTTCAACTAACCACATGTAGGTCTCATTGAATTCATTTGTGCCAAGTACCTTACTGCCTCTGTGTCAGGCTAGCAAATTTGGGTTCCAACAGGTGTAACTTGGTTCTTGGCGGGCTGGAGGTGGGGGGAGTGGGGTGTAACCAAAAAATCTCTACTAACACTGTGGTTTGTAAGCCACCAAACATTAAACAGATATACAGCATATCTGTGCTATTAACGTTTTGTGAGGAGGGCTGGTGACGGTGGCTCAGGCCTGTAAATCCTAGCACTTTGGGAGGCTGAAGCAGGTGGATTTCTTGAGCCCAGGAGTTTGACACCAACCTGGGCAACACGGTGAAAACTCATCTCTACAAAAAATTTAAAAGTAGCTGGGTCTGGTGGCACGCACCTGTAGTCCTAGCTACTTGGAGGATCGCTTGAGTCCAGGAGTTCAAGGCTGCAGTGAGCTGTGATTGCACCACTATACTCCAGCCTGGGCAACTGAGCCAGACCCTATCTCTAAAAGTAAATAAATAAATAAACATGTCATGAGGGGGATGATAATTAGGGAAACCACGTCTACAGTGGCTCCCTGATGTGAGTTGGGGTAGATGATGGAAAGAGGTTGGAAAGTGTCAGCTGTCTAACGTGGTGTGAAAAGTCTGAAGACAGCACGTGCTGTGCAGTGCTATGCACGTCCCCCTGCCTCAGTCACATGTCCTCTTCTGCAGAGGCATTTAGTGGGGCCCCTGGGGATGCCAGGAGAGCTCCTGCCCTCCGCAAACTTCTGGTCTGGTGGGGGCAGCAGAGCAGACAGCCACTGTGGCTGCCAGCCACCCGGACAAGCATTTCGAGAGGTGTGTGCCTGCCTGTCGGCTAAATCCTGGGCCTGTGGCCTGATCAGCAAGACAGCTGTGCTTCCTGTCTTCTGGAAGTTTAGGAGTCAATGTGAATACATTTTTAGAAAGTAAATGAGCAGCAGAAATGATGTAAACACGGGAGGTGACTAATCATGCCTGGGGCAATCTGGAAAGGCTTCTGGGAGGACTTGGCATTTCCCTGGCCCTCTTCAACCCACAACAACCCCATAAAAAGCGGGGGCTACCGTTGTCCTTGTATTCCAGCTAAGGAACCCACAGCTCAGAGAAGTGAGGTGAGTTGCCCAAGGTCACACAGCTTCTAAGGGACAGAGCTGGGATTGACCTGGTTTGATGTGACTCCAGGTCAGGGCAGGGCGAGGCCTGTCCTGTCTACCCAGACTCAGATCTGCTGCCTGTGCTTCAGTTATCTGGGGGCTTTCCTTCTCTTGGTGACTACTTGACCCAAACCCTGAGATGCTCAGTCTTTTGAATTTTAACATTCCAAGATCCTGCCCGCTCTGATTCCCAGTTTCAGGATCTCAGTGCAAGGTTCCCAGCAACGTGAAGCCCCCCCGAGGATCTTTCCTGAGTCGCTCAGGACGGCCACGCGGCGGGGTCTCTGGAGCTGGAGTCTGGGCTCCCTGCAGCCTGCTCCTCCACACAGCCTAGATGCGGCCCACATGGGGTCTAGATGGCGCCTGGGCCAGAAGCAGCCTGGTTTTAGGGCCAAAGAGGCAAAACGAGCAGTCTCTGACCTACTCCGTTAGGCAGGTGTTGAGACAAGTAGGATGTGGCCACTGGAGACCCCTCTGTCGGAGCCCTGCCCTGGCCCTCTACTGTGGGACTGTTTTTTTTGCCTCCGGGGAGAGGAGAGGTGGAAGGTGGGGCCTGGGAGCGACCCCTCCGCTCTGGGCCTTGCTTGCTAATCGGTGTGATGGCACCGTTAGAGCCAGCGAACGCAGGCTGAGGAGGACCGAGGTCAGCAGCCAGTGAGAGGAGGAAGTCATCCCTCCACGGGAGGGGCTTCTGCATATGTCATTTTTGTTGTTGTATAATACATTTACTCTAGCAAATATGAAGGAGGCATTATGCTGCCTGCCATACACAGTAAGGAAACTCTGCTCCTCCCCGTTCTACCTGTGTGGCCTCAGCTGAGACAAGATCTCTTGGAGCCTCAGGTTTTCTTTTATTTCATTAAAAAAAATATGTCTTTTTTTTTTTTTTCTTAGAGACAGGGTCTTACTCTGTCACCCAGGCTGGAGTGCAGTGGTGCGATCATAGCTCACTGCAGCCTTGACCTGGGCTCAAGCCATCCTCTGCCCTCAGCCTCCTGAGTAGCTGGGATGACAGGCATGCACCAGCATACCTGACTAATGTTTAATTTTTTTGTAGAGACGGGGCCTCACTATGTTGCCCAGGCTGGTCTTGAACCCCTGGCTTCAAGTCATCCTGCTACCTTGGCCTTCCAAAGTGCTAGGAGTACAAGGTCGAGGCACCATGCCTGGCTGAGCCTCAGATTTTCTTTCTGTTAGACGGGCTGATGCCTGCTCAGCTGTGGCCTGGCTCCAGGCTGCTGTGTCTTCAAGCCCATGGGATGCAGGGACCAGGCTGGGGTGACCAACACTCCCCCACACCCAGTTTGCCTGGGAGTGAGGGGTTTCTGGGGATGAGGGACTTTCAGCAGTGACACCAGGAACATGTCGGATAAGGTGGTTGCTTTAGACAGGCCCAGGAAAGGAGATCTGGGTTTTCCCAGTGCACCAGGTCTTACCACAACAGGTAAGGAAGTCTCTGCTTTCTCAAAGCCCAAATGCCCACGGGGGCGGTAGAGAGGCCGCCACCTCCATACCCTCTGAGTCTGAGACCTCCCTTTCCTCTGCTCCTCTGCCTGCAGCCCCGAAGACAGTCCCCAGATAAAGTACCCCCCGCTGGAAGCCAGCATCTGGGGCCTTCCACACACTCATTCAATTCTCATGATGATTTTTTTTTTTAGCAATATCACTTGTTTTACAATGAGGAAACTGAGGCTTAGAGAGGGTGAAGCAACCTGCCGCTAAGTGGGGGCAAATGTGGGACTCAGGCCCCAGCCTCTCCTCCACCCCAGCTGTCTCTGGGTGCAGGAAGCTGTCAGGATGGGTGTAGGGGAGGGGTGGGCGACAGTGACAGCCTACCCGAAGAACTGGGCCCCAGCGCCCTCCGTGTTTCCGTGTTATTCTCCCAGCCTCCGGGCTGCTGCAAGTCCGGCCCTGACTCACCAAGATGCCTCCCCCAACCCAGGAACCAGGGGGACCAGGCCTTGCAACCTTGCCCCCACCTTCTCTGCCTCCAGGAAGTGGCTGAGGGCTTTGCCTTCCAGGAACAGAGAACTGCCCAAGTGGGGGTTGGTGGCTGTGAGTGTGCTCCTAAGTATGAAATATGTCTCTAGGCTAGTGGCTTCTTCCTAAAGTCCCTGTCCCCGGGAAAGCGCGGCCAAGGTTGGGCCGTAGATTCTTCCCCTACATAGGAACTCTACCCCAAAGAAACTCTGCTGCTCTGAAGGCAAACTGGGAGGCAAAAGTGTGTGTGTGTGTGTGTGTGTGTGTGTGTGTGTGTGTTTACATTTATTAAGCACCTACCGTAAGCCTGGAACTTTTGTTTTCTTGTTTTGTTTTGAGACAGGGTCTCACTCTGTTGCCCAGGCTGGAGGGCAGCGGTACAATCTCAGCTCACTGCAGTCTCAACCTCCCAGGCTTAAGCGATCCTCCCGCATTAGTTTCCCCAGTAGCTGAGACTATAGGCGTGCATCATCATGCCTGGTTAATTTTTCTATTTAAAAATTTTTAAATTTATTTTTGAGACAGGGTCTTGCTTTGTCACCCAGGCTGGAGTGCAGTGGCACGATCACAGCTCACTGCAGCCTCGATCTCCCTAGGCTCAAGCAATTCTCCCATCTCAGCCTCCCGAGTAGCTGGGACTACAGGGGCACACCACCACTCCTGGCTAATTTTTTTGTATTTCGTAGAGACGGGGTTTCACCATGTTGCCCAGGTTGGTCTGGAACTCCTGAACTCAAGTGATCCACCCGCCTTGGCCTCCCAAAGTCCTGAGATTACAGGTGTGAGCCACTATGCCTGGCCTAATTTTTCTATTTGTGTCGAGATGGGAATCTCACTATGTTGCCCAGGCTGGTCTTAAACTCATGGGCTCAAGTGATCTACCCGCCCTGGCTTCCCAAAGTCCTGGGATTACAGGCATGAGCCACCACGCCCACCAGCCTAGAACTTTTGAATCCAGCCTCTTGTTGCACTCTCTCAACAGCCCTATGAGATGGACACTGTTTCTTATCCCCATTTGACAGATGGGAAAACTGAGGCTCAGAGAGGCAAGCATCTGCGTCAAGGTCATACAGCTTGTAAGGGACAGAGCTAGGACTTGAACGTCCTTTTTGACCCCACAGTCTATGCTTTCAACCCTGTGCCCTGCATGGCACCTGGTAAACATGTGGCGGGCCTTTCTGGGGGACGTAGCCTTCAAGCTCCTCCTTTTTCTTACTCTGCCCTCCGTCTTCCACCCAAGTCCACAAGCCCAGCCTTTTGTCTCCTCAGCGAGGTCAGGTCTCTCCTGATGGCTTCATGCCTTCCCGAACGTCACTGGGTTTCAATCTGATCTTGACTTCTCACCAGCTGTGTGTCTTTGGGCAAGTCACTTCACTTCTCTTAACCTCAGTGTCGTCCTTGGTAAAATGGGGATAATTGTGAGGGCCAGATGTCTCTGGTGCAAATATCGTAAAGTTTGGTTTAAGAAATTATTTTTATTTTTATTTTTTAGACAGAGTTTTGCTCTTGTCTCCCAGACTGGAGTGCAGTGGTGTGATCTTGGCTCACTGCAACCTCTGCCTCCCAGGTTCAAGCAATTCTCCTGCCTCGGCCTCCCAAATAGCTGGAATTACAGGGAGCACCAGCATGCCCGGCTAATTTTTGTGGTTTTGGTAGAGACAGGGTTTCACCATGTTGGCCGGGCTAGTCTTGAACTCCTGACATCAGGTGATCCATCTGCCTTGGCTTCCCAAAGAGTTGGGATCGCAGGCGTGAGCCACTGCACCTGGCCTAAGAAATTATTTTAAGATGTGGGTTGGGTGTGGTGGCTCATGCCTGTAATGTCAGTGCTTTGAGAGGCCGAGGCAGGAGGATTGCTTGAGGCCAGGAGTTTGAGACCAGTCTGGACAACATAGCAAGACCCCGTCTCTACAAAAAAAATTAAAAATTAGCCGGATATGGTGGCATGTGCATGTAGTCCCTACTACTCTGGAGGCTGAGGTGAGATCACTTGAGCCCAGGAGGTCGCGGCTGCGGTGAGCTATAATTGCATTACTGCACTCCAGACTGGGCAACAAAGTGAGACTCTGTCTCTAAAACAAATAAGTCAATAAATAAATGGAAATAAATTAGTTTAAGATGTGATCAGATTTGCATATTTGAAACCAACATAGGCCTGGTGTGGTGGCCCACGCCCTGTAATCCCAGCACTTTGGGAGGCCGAGGCAGGCAGATCGCTTGAGGTCAGGAGTTTGAGACCAGCCTGGCCAACATGGCGAAACCCTGTCTCTACTAAAAATACAAAAATTAGCTAGGCATAGTTGTGTGCACCTGTAGTCCCAGCTACTTGGGAGGCTGAGGAAGGAGAATTGCTTGAACCCAGGAGGTGGAGGTTGCAGTGAACCGAGATCATGCCACTGCACTCCATCCTGGGCAACTCAGAGCGAGACTCTGTCTCGAAAAAAAAAAAGAAAAAAGAAAAGAAACCAACATAATTCTAACTAACATGTGAAAGAGGTCAGATTGAACCTGGAAGGTGAGGAGCCCGTGAGTGAGTTATAGTCACCTGAGGAATGATGAGCAACTGCTGCTTCCTCCAGATCATGTGAATGAAGTACAAAGGAAGAGACTGGAAATTGTCCAGGTGCCATTCTTGAATGCCCACTCTGCATCAGACACTATTCTAAGGGTTGTGTGCTGCTGAAAGGCGTTATGTCCAGGGAATGCAGGAATATCTGAATCCTGCCCCAGAAAGTGGCTGTCACTCACCATAGGATTCTCAGCACAGAATTTTGAATTCTGTAAACACCAGCCAGTGCCAAGGAGAGCATGAGGGGAGAGAGAGCAAACAAGAAAGCACAGGTGTTCACAATGCCAAGAAGAAAGGTCAATGAGATGGCCAAACGAGAGGCGCTGTCTTTTCTGGCTACCTAGTCGGGAGGACAATGTAGAGTCTCTGAATAGACAGTGGTCTTACCCACAGGCACATTCAGTGACCATAAGCTCCCTGAGAGCAGGGCTGTTCTGAAAAGATTTGAGTTTTCTCCTGGCCATGGAGAGTGTAATTGAATGGCTCTGGGCCCTTGAAGACTTACAGTGTGGGTTGACTGAAAGAACAAAATCAGCCAACCTTTGCTGAGAGGTTATCATGCAAACAAAGTGCTAAGGGTCTTGCATGCATCCCTTCATTTTATCCTCACAATAGGCTATGAAGTAGGCACCGTCATCCCTGTTGTGCATTGTGTAGATGAGAACAACACCAAAGCAAATGGGACCAAGCCAAGATATTGAGAAGGAATGAGACAAACTGAGACTCTGAGGACTGGCAAGGGCTATGGGAGGGTGGAAGCAAGATAGGAGAAGGAGGAAGAGAGACATGTAGAGGTGGCGTGGCAGTGGGCAGGGAGAGGGGGCAGCAGGAAGAATCAGACTCCAAGAGGCCTCAAAGGTCCAATAAGCAGCTGTATCTGGGAGGTCTGTGGTTTCCAAACTCTTCTGCTTATGGACTTCATAAGTGGGCAATTAATCTATTTATGAATTCTATGCAGGTACTACTTTACTCTTATGATACATTATAAATAATACAATATTTGAAATTAAGAAGGAGTGACATGAGCCCGGGCACAGTGGCTCATGCCAGTAATCCCAGAACTGTGGAAGGCCAAGGTGGGTGGATAACTTGAAGCCAGGAGTTCGAGACCAGCCTGGCCAACATGGTGAAACCCCATCTCTACTAAAAATACAAAAATTAGCTGAGCGTGGTGGTGCATGCCTGCAATCCCAGCTTCTCAGGAGGCTGAGGCAGGAGAATCACTTGAACCCGGGAAGCAGAGGTTGCAATGAGCTGAGATAGCGCCACTGTACTCCAGCCTGGGTGACAGAGCAAGACTCCATCTCAAAAAAAAAAAAAAAAAGGAGTGACATGAAAAGTTAATAGAATTAGAAGCAAAGCACTAATTATTTCTACACTCCAATGGATTGTCTCGTCCACAAATAAAGTGGCTTAACCAAAATGGAGAGGGAGGCAAATCAATTTCTATGCACATCTAGAAGTTAAAGGGCCCTCCTGGATGGCTTTATTCATGTTGATTAGTAATAATAACAACTGCTACTGGCTGAGGGTCTTCTCCATCCCAGGCATGTTAGGGATGCCTAAATCCCCAGCCCCTGCTCCAGACCAGACATGCTTCCAGCTGCGGCAGTAGAGGGTGGTGGTCTAGGGTGCTTGCTAAGCCCAAGGGTGAAGCTGTCTTGATGTCCCACCATCCGTTGTCTCCCCCCAGGTGCCATGCCTCTGCAACTCCTCCTGCTGCTGATCCTACTGGGCCCTGGCAGCAGCTTGCAGCTATGGGGCACCTGGGCAGATGAAGCCAAGAAAGCCTTGGGTCCCCTGCTTGCCCGGAACCGGAGACAGGCCACCGAATATGAGTACCTGGATTATGATTTCTTGCCAGAAACGGAGCCTCCAGAAATACTGAGCAACAGCACCAACACCACTCCTCTGACTGGGCCTGGAAACCCTGAGTCTACCACTGTGAAGCCTGCTGCAAGGCATTCTACTGGCCTGGATACAGGAGGGTCAGTCACAGAGCTGACCATGGAGCTGGCCAACATGGGGACCCTGTCCATGGATTCAGCAGCTATGGAGGTACAGACCACTCACCCAGCAGCCACGGAGGCACAGACCACTCAACCAGCGGCCACGGAAGCACAGACCACTCCACTGGCAGCCACAGAGGCACAGACCACTCCACTGGCAGCCACAGAGGCACTGACAACTCAACTGGTGGCCACAGAGGCACAGACCACTCCACTGGCAGCCACAGAGGCACAGACCACTCAACCCATAGCCACAGAGGCACAGACCACTCCACTGGCAGCCACAGAGGCCCTGTCCACAGAATCCAATGCCATGGAGGCCCTGTCCACAGAACCCAATGCCACAGAGGCCCTGTCCATGGAACCTACTACCAAAAAGGGTCTGTTCATACCCTTTTCTGTGTCCTCTGTTACTCACAAGGGCATTCCCATGGCAGCCAGCAATTTGTCCATCAACCACCCAGTGGGGTCCCCAGACCACATCTCTGTGAAGCAGTGCCTGCTGGGCATCCTAATCTTGGCACTGGTGGCCACTATCTTCCTCGTGTGCACTGTGGTGCTGGCAGTCCGCCTCTCCCGTAAGGGCCACATGTACCCCGTGCGTAATTACTCCCCCACCGAGATGGTCTGCATCTCGTCCCTGTTGCCTGATGGGGGTGAGGGGCCCTCTGCCTTAGCCAATGGGGGCCTGCCCAAGGCCAAGAGCCAGGGCCTGACGCCAGAGCCCGGGGAGGACCGTGACGGGGATGACCTCACCCTGCACAGCTTCCTCCCTTAGCTCCCTCTGCCATCTGTTTTGGCAATACCCCAGCCTCCACGGTCTCTCCTGGGCCTCCCCTGAGTGCCCAGACCTCATTCCACAGCTCTGGGCTTCCTCGGAGACCCCTGGGGATGGGGATCTTCAGGGAAGGAACCCTGGCCACCCAAACAGGACAAAAGCAGCCTGGGGCCAAGCAGACTGGCAAGTGGAGCCACCTCTTTCCTCCCTCCTCGAATGAAGCCTGGTCACATTCCAGCCACATTTCAGCCGAGGTCCAGGGAAGGAGGCCATTTACTTGAGAGAGATTCTCTCCTTTTTCCTGTCCCCCATCTTATCTGGGTCTCTCTAACGTCTCCCATGGCTCTCCCCGCTTCTCCTGGTCACTGGAGTCTCCTCCCCACATACCCAAGGAAGACGGAGTTCCCCCACCCCACACGCACCGCCGTTGTCTTCTGGTTGCCATGGTCACCAAACAGGAAGTGGACATTCTAAGGGAGGAGTACTGAAGAGTGACAGATTCCTGAGGCTGTTTCCTGCTGCTCCTCTGACTTGGGGCAGCTTGGGTCTTCTGGGGCACCTCTCTGGGAAAACCCAGGGTGAGGTTCAGCCTGTGAGGGCTGGGATGGGTTTCGTGGGCCCAAGGGCAGACCCTTCTTTAGGACTGTGTGGACCGAGAAGCTTCCCTCTAGTGACAAGTAACCCCCCAGCCGTCCTCTCTTGCCTTCCCCTGTGGCCACTTTCCAGGGTGGACTCTGTCTTGTTCACTGCAGTATCCCAACTGCAGGCACAGTGCTGGCAATAAATGTGTGACGGACAAACCATAGCTGAATCCTTCAAGGTATCAAGGCTGTCTCCTTCAGGCAGCCTTCCCGGATTTCTCTATCCCTCAGTGCAGGGTGGGGGCTGGTCCTCAGCTGTCCGCCCTCAGCCCCTGGCCCCCCAGGAAGCCTCTTTCATGGGCTGTTAGGTTGACTTCAGTTTTGCCTCTTGGACGACGGGGGGTCTTGTACATCCTTGGGTGGCCGGGAAAAGTTCAGGCTGTTGGGGGCCAAAGGGAGGCTGCCCTTTCCCCACCAGTGACCACTTTATTCCACTTCCTCCATTACCCAGTTTTGGCCCACAGAGTTTGGTCCCCGCTAAACCTCAGACCAATATCCATCTAAACATCAATCTATCCTCCTGTTAAAGAGAAAAAAAAGGGGCTGGGAGCAGGGGCTCACGCCTGTAATCCCAGCACTTTGGGAGGCCAAGGTGGGTACATCACCCGAGGTCAGGAGTTCAACACCAGCCTGGCCAACATGGTGAAACTCTGTCTCTACTAAAAATACAAAGATAAGTGGGGTGTGGTGGCACGTGCCTGTAGTCCCAGCTACTCGGGAGGCTGGGGCAGGAGAATTGCTTTCGTGGGCCCAAGGGCAGACCCTTCTTTGGGACTGTGTGGACCAAGAAGCTTCCCTCTAGTGACAAGTAACCCCCTAGCCGTCCTCTCTTGCCTTCCCCTGTGGCCACTTTCCAGGGTGGACTCTGTCTTGTTCAGAACCCGGGAGGCAGAGGTCGCAGTGAGCTGAAATCACGCTACTGCACTCCAGCCTGGGTGACAGAGTAAGACTCAAAAAAAAAAAAAGATTCAATGACATTTGTTAAAGCATGGTAAGGAAGACTTTGTTTAAGGTGAGGGGGACTCTCTCGATCACTGCAGGGGCTGCAGCTATGGGATTTTGCAGTGGGGGCATTTGGGCTCAACTATGAGTACAAGTGGGAACTGATAGCCGGGAGCAGGGTTGGACATCTGCGGTTGGAAAATTACCCAGAGGAAACATCAGGGGAAGGGGAATTCTGGCTAAACTGACTGTTGGGGATGGGTTCTCGGTCATTTTCTACACTGACCTAACAGGATTCATACTGGAGGCAGGCCAGGGTGCTCAGCCATCACCTGGGGGATGGTGGCAGATTAGGAACGTGATCAGATACAGGAAGTGATCAGATATGGAGTGGTGAGGGAAGGGTTGTTACTAAGCTGACTTAGCAGAGTTCTTGCTAGAACTGGATTTTATTCACTTATTTATTTATTTTAAGATGGAGTTTCGCTCTTGTTGCCCAGGGTGGAGTGCAATGGTGCAATCTGGCTCACCGCAACCTCCGCCTCCTGTGTTCAAGCGATTCTCCTGCCTCAGCCTCCTGAGTAGCTGGGATTACAGGCATGCGCCACCATGCCCAGCTAATTTTGTATTTTTAGTAGAGATGGTGTTTCTCCATGTTACTCAGGCTGGTCTCGAACTCCTGACCTCAGGTGATCCACCCGCCTCGGCCTCCCAAAGTGCTGGGATTACAGGTGTGAGCCACTGCGCCTGGCCCAGAACTGGATTTTACAAGGAAGTGCACAGATGGGCTTAGGAGAGGACTCGGGGGCCTGACTGATTACAGCTTGGCCAAGCACAGAATCCTTCCCACTCTCCAGAAGCTCACCCTGACCTCTCCTTTTCACTCAGGCCCTGTCTCCCATTAAGAGCCAGTAGCTTATTGGTAAGCCTAGATGCAGCCTGCAACCTTTTGTACAACTCACAGAAGCACTGACTTGCCGTCAAATGGAAAAGTTCAAGCTGACAAACTTTTTCTTAAAGGACCAGACGGTGAATATTGTAGGCTTTAGCTATTGCAACACCGTAGCCTCTGTTGCAACAACTCAACTCTGTCCTTGTAGCACAAAAGCAGCCACTGACAATATGTCCATAAATGAATGTGCATGGTTGTGTTCTAATAAAGCTTTATTTACAAATGGGCGGCAAGCTCATTTCGGCTCTGTCAGTTTGCCGACATCTGATTTTAAGCATAGGGTGACCAGTCGTCCCAGTTTGCCTGGGAATTTCTTGATTTTAGCACTGAAAGTCCTACATTCTGTGAAACTCAGCCCCGGTAAACCAGGTTGGCCCTGCTATTTAAGCAACACTTGCATTACCCCATTTAAAACACACACTACCTTGTGAGGGTCAGGGATTCACCTTGCCTGCTGCCTAGTCAGAGCCGATTTGTCAAGACAGGGGAATTGCAATGGAGACAGAGTAATTCATGCAGAGCAGGCTGTACAGGAGAAGGGAGTTTTCTTATTACTCAAATCAATCTACCCAAGCATTCGGGGATCAGAGTTTTTAAAGACAATTTGGTGGGCAAGGGCTTGGGAAGTGGGGTGTGCTGATTGGTCAGGTTGAAGATAGAATCATAGGGGTCGCAGTGAGATTTTCTTAATGTCTTCTGTTCCCGGGTGCGACGGCGGAACTGGTTGAGCCAGAATACCGGTCTAGGTGGTGTCAACTGATCCATCCAGTGCAGGGTCTGCAAAATATCTCAAGCAGTGATCTTAGGTTTTACAATACTGATGTTATCCCCCGGAGCAATTTGGGGAGGCTTAGACTCTCGGAGCCAGAGGCTGCATGACCCCTAAACCATAATTTCTAATCTTGTAGCTAATGTGTTAGTCCTGCAAAGGCAGACTGGTCCCCAGGCAAGAAGGGGGTCTTTTCAGGGGGAAAGGATATTATTAATTTTGTTTCAGAGTCAAAACATGAACTGAATTCTTTCCCAAAGTTAGTTCAGCCTAACTTTGGGAAGGAATGAACAAGGACAGCTTAACGGTTGGAAGCAAGATGGAGTCTGTTAGGTCTGGTCCTTTCACTGTCATAATTTCCTCAGTTATAATTTTTGCAAAGGCAGTTTCAGTCAGATTAGAAAACTAGGATTTGGAGAGTTCTTGGTCTTCTGCTCCCAAAGAAATACCTTCCGGTCATTTCCATATATACAGAAAGAAGCTACTGCTTAAAACAGACTCTGTTCTACCTTCTAGGACAGGAATAAAAGTCATCTCAGGGGATAATCTTTATTTTTCTTCTTGAAAAATACCTCCGGCCGGGTGTGGTGGTTCACACCTGTAATCCCAGCACTTTGGGAGGCCAAGGTAGGAGGACGGCTTGAGCTCAGGAGTTTGAGACCAGCCTGGGCAGCATGGTGAAACCCTGTCTCTACAAAAAAAATACAAAAATTAGCCAGGTGCAGGGATGTGCGCCTGTAGTCCCAGTTACTCAGGAGGCTGAGATGGGAGAATCACTTGAGCCTGGGAGGTGGAGGTTGCATGAGCCGAGATCATGCCATTGCACCACAGCCTTGGCAGCAACAGCAGTGAAAAGCTGTCTCAAAAAAAAAAAAAAAAGAAAAAAAAGAAAAAGAAAAGAAAAGAAAAAGTAAAAGGAAAAAGAAAAAAGAAAAAAAATACCTTCAATGGCCTATTCCTTGGAAGTGAAGGACTTCTTCTTTCCTTGCCCCCAAGGTTAGCCTGGAAAAGGGAAGTTCACAGAGAAGGTTGAGTCTGGCAGGGGTTGACTGCGGCTTGGGAGAGAGTGATTGGATGAAGAGACAAAGGAAAGGCAGGAAAGAGCTGTCAGGGGGAGGGGCCATGGGACAGCATTGGGGAGGAGTGGGGAGAGGGCCCACACATGTTGGAAATGCAGTTTCTATCTCCTCCCCTGAACTAGAAGGATCAAATCTGATACACTCAGGCAGGTGTGTTCAAAGTGTCCTGGGGGCGCTGATGGAAGAGGGTGGGAGTGTCTGCCGTGCGCTGGGTCAGTTAACACCCGGGGTCGCCAGGCTGACGGGTCAGGAGAGACTGAGTCTACCTCCCCTTTGGGAGGGATCAGAAAAATCAGAGAAGAGGAGCTGAAGGCTCCACAGCAGGGGGTTGTGGACTCAGGTTGAAGGACATGGGGACCTCTGAGTTGTTCCCCAGGGATCTTGTCACCTCGTCTTCCTGGGAGCTTCCCCCTATTCCCTGACAGCTCCTGAGGATGCTGTGTAACCACAGCTTTCCATTTGCATTGGAAGAGGGCTACCTTCCCTTTACAGTTTTCTCTCTCTCCAAGGTGTGGGATTTCATTCAGGGTGGGCGAAGCTGGGTGCTTGAAGCGGCCACCAGGGGGCGCCCGCCGCCAGCTCTTAGAGCAGGCGGAAGCCTGCGTTTCCCTTGGTTCAGACTTGGCGATCATTCAGCCAGGAAGGAGCCCCAGAGCCAGTGGCGTGCTGGTAAGTGTTTAACAACTGGCTTCCAATGGGAAAAAGGCCTGATGTGTAGCCTTTGCCAATGTCTTCCATGAAAATACTCCCACAGCCGATTTTGAGCTACCAACCATTATATAGTCGATGATACGATAAATGTTAGTAACAAGAGCATCGATCATCGAATAATGTAGTACAATTATTAGGAATTAGTGAGTTTTGAGTATTGATGACCTTGGCTTTTAATATAATAGAATTTAGTTTATTAAACAACTGACACAAAATTCTGAAAATTTTGCTGATTAGCTCTCACGAGCAGATGTAGTCTGGCTCCTGCACAGCCCTGTGCCCTCCCCTCCTGCCTGGGCCTCCCATGCCCTTGAGGACTGCCAGCCTGAATCACCCCACTCATCCATTCAGCAAACACATCCTTAACACACACACAGCTGCAATATCCCTGTGAATCCCCTCAAACAGCTCTCACAGAAGGTTCTAGTATTCTCCCCATTTTACAGAAGATGAAACTGAGGCTGAGAGCTAGGTGAAGTCACCTGCCCCAGGTCATGAAGAGGATTTGAGATTGGAACCCAGGCCTGAAAGCCAGGATCTTACCACTGTGTCATGCCGTCCTCGAGATCACAGCGGGGTTCTGGGGGAATCCCACGCCCCAAAACCTCAGCCCTGCTGACCTGCCCTGGCTCCTGGAAGTCCCCCATTAGTCACCCTTTGTGGCTCCTGGCCGCTGAGGGAAGGCGCTGTTACTTGGGAGGGTAACCGAGTACAGCACAGCCCTCTCATTGCAGAGAACACAACACAGCAGGGCTGGGGCCTAGGACTAAGAGGGATGGCCGGGGGCAAGTAGCTGGCCTTTACTGAGCACTTACTGCATACCTAGTGCCTTGCCAAACAGTTTGTCTGCATTACCTCATTTAGGACGCAACCCCATAATGTGGTTGCAATGATTGTTCCATTTTCTTGCCAGGGAAACTGAGGTTCAGAAAGCCGAACCACTTGCTCTGGCAGGTTGCACGGTTAGGAAACCACGCTGTGCTGACCTCAGCTCTGCCAGCAGGGAAGGAAGGAGGGTAGACAGGAAATGGGGGGGCGGGGGACGATGGGCTCGGTTTGTTCCAGATCCCTTGTC